AGGCGCAGGCTCGGGAGGGTCTACCAGAGAAACACCTGAAGGAGCAGGGGTCTACCTGGGGAGGACCTGGAGCGAGAAAGAGCGGCGGGGGGGGGGGCGAGGGGCAATGCGGTAGGGAAAGAGACGGTAAAAGGGGACTGACTCGTCAAAGGTGACGTCCTGAGACGGAAAGTCACGGCGCGAGGCGGGGTCGTAAAACTGCCAGCCAGGCACGTTAGGGACAAAGCCAAGGAAGACGCAGGGAATGGCGCGAGGGGAGAGCTTGTCCGCAGTGCTATCGCAGACAAAGGCACGGGCACCCCAGACTCGGTAACGCGACACATCGCCATCCTCCCCCGTCCAGCGCAGTGTGGGCGAAGTCTCCAGCACGGAGACACGGGGCCAGAGGTTGAGCTGATGCGCAGCGTACCGGACCGCAAACGACCACAGAAAATGGGGGGCAGCCGCATGGATCATGGAGGTACGAGCGACCTCCATGACTAAGCCAATGCGGCGCTCATCAACCCCTTTCTGCTGCGGAGAGGCCGGAAGCGTGAACGTCTGGCGGATGACGTGCTCCTCACAGTAGGCTCACAAGAGGTCGGAGGTAAACTCACCACCTCTGTCGGAGTGCAGACGCAAGACATGAAAGTCCGAGTGAAACCGCTCGCGGAGCTGGAGACGAACAGCGCGGATCCAAGGGATCAAAACATCAGGGACCTCCCCCTTGCGCTGCAAGGGGAAGACCGTGTTGTAACGCGTGTAGTTGTCGACTACCAGCAGGAAGTACCGCTCGTGGCCCTGTCCACGGTCGCGGGCTGGGCCCCACACGTCCAGGTGGAGAGTCTGCAGTGGAGCCTCTGTGGGAGGGAACGAGGAGGAGTGAGGAGCGACGCGCTGCCGCCCCTCGACGCAAGGAATGCAGGGCGGCGCAGGCGAGGGAGGGAGGGAGGGCAGAGACCTAGGAAGACCAGAGACCAGGCGGCGAGAGTGCATGCCACGAAGGCGAGGCAGGGAGGGGTGACCTAGGCGGTGGTGCCACAAGAGAGTCTAGTGCGACAGGCTGCGACACTCACACTGGGTAGCTACCTGAGCGGACGCGTATAGCTGAGGAGACAAAGGGGTGGAGCGCGACGCAGTGGTGAGGGTGTACAGATTGGACCCAGGCGCACGTGTGAACATGGCCAGGTGACGGCCGGTCCGGGAGCACGTGCAGATCGCCACACGCTGTCCTCCAGGAGTAAAGGTGTCAACCCAGTAATCCTGAAGGACGGCGTTGCTCACCAAGTTCGTGGAGAACGAGGGGAGGTGGAGACCAGACAGCTCACCAAACGGGACCGCCGGACACGGAAGCACAGTGGAAGACCGTGCAAGCACTGGGCCCCCAGAGGGGTCAGCCAATGAGACAGGGACAGGTGCAGGGAGGGGAGTGACTGTGGTGCTGTCGCGAAAGAAACAGCAGGAAGCACCAGATTCAAGTCTAAAGGTGTGCAAGGTCAGTGCGGACGCAGTACCAGGGAGAGCAGACTCACTAGCACCTAGAGCTGCAGGCGCTATACCTGGGGCTATACCGGGGTCAGGCGGCACACACAAGTAGCAGTCACCCTTAGCACTAATAGTCAATATATACATGGCAGCAAGAATAGGTACATCACGCCTAAGCAGGTCTGCCCAGTTGGGGAACTCAGTAGCATCAGGAAACTTGACGCGCCAGGCGTCGCTAAGCCGAGCGAAGCAGCGGTACTCAGTGTGAAAGCCGGTGCACTGGCGACCAGCACGGGGACCTGCGCGAATGATATAGGGGCAGCGACCAGGACCCCCAGACGCCCCACGCCCGGCATACTAGTCAAGAAGCTGCTGGGAAGTGGGGGTCTGGCGCTGATGCTGCTGCGGCTGCTGCTGCTACTGTTGCTGCTGCTGCCCCTGGCCATCACTGGTCTCACCCAAGCCCCCACCACCACTCCCCCTTCCGCCACCACCGCCGCCGCCACCGCCACTACTCCCGTCACCACCACCGCCCCCACCACCACCTCCACCCCCACGACCACCCCCACCACTACCACCTCCCCCGCCGCCTCCACCACCGCCCCCTCCACCGCCACGTCCGCCACCCCTGCCTCCCCTGGAGCCGCTGCGCTTCCCACTAGGAGCGGGAAGTAGCTGCGACCTTCTCAGCACCAAGGAGGTCGACAGCAGCAGCTGCGGAGGCGTAGGAGGGGGTAAGAGGGGAGTGGGAGCACCCCTCAAAGAGGGGAGTGCGAGGAGTACCACGAGCAGCACCTACAGCGAGGATGTTCTTCTCTGCTGCTAGGAGGTGCTTCTCGAAGTCGGCGACAGTGAGAGTGGTAGGGTCTAGGGCTAGGAAGTGGTCCCTGACGAAGCTAAGAGTGTCAGGGAGGCGGGTGACGAGGAAATAGAAAGTGAAGTACATCGGGGGGGGGGGGGGGGGGGGGGGTTCTCGGCGCAGAACTCGGCTGGAAGGGCGGCACGAAAGTGAGTGTCACTAGCGCGAAGGTGAGAAATGAGGTCCTCAGCAGTGGTAAACGAGGACAGGTCTGGGGACAGGTAGGGTAGCATGAGCCGACCTAGGGTTGCAGTGGCCGGGGAGGAGTGGCGCGCAACTACAGCGTCATACAGTGCCTTAGCAGTTTTGTGCTGGCTGAAATGCTCGCGCTCAGTGATCGGCAGATGATTTCGAATAGCTAGGCGTGCAGCAGCATCGCGAGTCTGCCACTGTGAGCGTTCGAGAGCGGTAGCATCGTCAGCAGGAGCAACGGCAGTGCCAGACGCGTAATCGAACAGTGAAACGCCGTCTTTGGCATCAGTCAGAAGAAACAGTTGGAGATCGTCTAGCCACGTGGTAAACTCTATCGGGCGACCATCAGGCTCAAACGCGAGAACATTAAGTGTCGCCATAATCGCATTGCAGGCAAAGGCAGTAGGCAAAGGCAGTGGGCAGCAAGCAGCAGGCAAAGGGCGCGAGCAGCAAGGGCGGAGGAAGGGCAGTACGAGGGCTGCTCGGGCAGTACGAGGGCTACTAAGGCAGCACGAGGGCTACTAAGGCAACACGAGGGCTGTTAAGGCAGTGGGAGGGCTGTTAAGGCAGCACGAGGGCTGTTAAGGCAGTGGGAGGGCAGTACGAGCACTGCTTAAGGCAGTGGGAGGGCAGTGCGCGGGGCTGACGAGGCAGCAGGCGGGCTGTGCGGGCGTCGCACGGGGCTGACGAGGCAGCGGGCTGGCTGCGCGCTCGCGGGTCAGTACAAGCAGCGCGAGGGCGGAGAGGTGGCGCGCGGGGCAGTAGAAGGCAGCGCGAGGGCTGCGGAGCGGCGCGCGGGGCAGGAGAAGGCAGCACGAGGGCTGCGGGGCGGCGCGCGGGCCTGACGAGGCAGTTAGCGAGCTACGCCGGGGCTGACGAGGCAGCAGGCGGGCTGCTAGCGGGCTGCACGAGGGCCAGCAAAGGCGAGCGCGAGGGCTGCGCGACTCAGGGCAGTGTAGGCAAGGGGCGGGGTAACGCGGTAACCGGCGTAAAACGGTTGGTGGGCCCTGAAAAACAGTGCTAAAACGGTCCTAAGGACCTATTTTGCTCTTAATACCATGTCGAGAGTAAGGGAAGGAAAAGGTGGTTGCACTATCGAGAAAGTTGGGTACAAGTAACAAAACCTATACCCTACATTAGCTACCCCACTAAAGCCTACATTTTATTATGACAAAGGCATATAGTTTGACAGCAGGCGCAGGGCCGGGCGCTGGCGCAGGGTGACGCGAGGCAGGGCAGGGCAGGGCGTGCGCTAGGCAGCGCGACGCGGGGCAAGGCAGGGCGTGCGCAGAGCAGCGCGACGCGGGGCAGGGCAGGGCGTGCGCGGGGCAGCGCGACGCAGGGTAGTGGGGTAACCCGGTAACCGCAATCGGTCGCTAAGTATGGTGGGCCCGGAAGAAACAAAATGGTCCTACGGACCTAATATTGGGTTGTACCCCATATTGGCTACCCCACTATAGCCTACACACAACTAGCACAGATATGGTTTGACATGGCTAAGGGACACACTGGGGGGTGCAGATGACACGCCAACGCCATGTACTCACGGATACACATAGTGCAAGGCAACAGGAGGGCACGGAGTCAAGTGTGGGGGGGGGGAGAAGGCGGGAGGGAAGAAGAGGTGCAAAGGGCGGCAACGTAACGGTGGCAGCTCCCGTAGCAATGGTCACCCACAACGACCTAAAGAAGCGCCTGGCGGAAAACCCAGATGAGGATTATCCAGCCACTTGCAAAACGGGGTCGCAGGAGGCAGCGTCCGCTCAAATCACATTGGCATCATGAGCCACACGGGTAAGAAGGGTGACATTGGCACTCCCTGATAGAAGTGAAGAAGGGCATCCAAGCACTGTAGAAACCTGTAACCTATACAATACAACCCAACCTAGCTGAACAATGTACCTTCAAACTGTATAAGCATACATTGACACTCCCCACTCCCTCCCCCCATCTTGCGTTCAGCACCTACCCCCACTACAGCTCGTCCGAGCCTCCCTGCTCTCTCAATTAGTCCATGCCATTGCACAAAGTCGTAAGTACGGCAAGCCAGGCAGGTAATGCATGGGTACGTCCATGCTACTATGCCAGTGCAACGGACATGTTCCGTCGGCAGCTAACCATGGGCAAGAGAAGAAAGCATACTCTTCGCAAGCTCATAGCATATACCAGTACATGATAGGGTTTGTCCGCAGGATGTGGTAGAGTACATGATAGGGCTTGTCCGCAGGATGTGGTGGTAGTGTTTTTGTTCTGAAGTCATGGTGTGGCGTGGCGTTTAAGAGATACCGTACATGAATCATGGTGCAACTGCAAGTTCCAACAGCTAAAGTAGGTGTCTTGAATGTTGAAAAGCCCTAACTACATCCTTCACAGCGAACCAAAAAAGGTCACAACCAAGAGGCGAATCCCCTAGTGCAAGACTCTGCACCAGGACTGGTAACCATGCAAAGGCTGGAAATCGAGCATCTTCACCCTTGGAAGCTTCTCAGCCTTGCAATCCCAAACTTGAAAGCTCTGACGCAAACTGATCCTTGCCACCTTCAGCACCAACTGCTAATACAGCTTGACTCTCATCCACCACGCTCATGTGCTTCAGCTTCAGCTTGTCTGCATGTGCCTTAGCCCTTTCCAGCTCTTCAGTCAATTCTTCAGCGTGCCTCCGCAAGTTCTCGCCACCATCCTTCAGGGTAATATTCTGCAAAACACAGAGGCCATAAGGGCGATAAGTTTGACAAAACTGAAAGAGATGCCGAGCAAAAAAACGAGGAAAGCTTACCGGGTTGTCGAGCATCTTCTTCAGCCTTGCAAGCTTCTCAGACAGGTTAACCACATGAGCTTGGGCCATGCGATGCTGCTCAGCCTCTCGGTTCACCTGGTAGCTGTCTGGAACAACCACACCTGCTGCAGCCAGAACCCCCCCAGGGCTGCAGGAGACAGAAACAGCCAGTGAACATCAGTTTAACAAGCGAATGCCAGAGTTAAAGATGCCAGAGTGGTTTTTACAGTAAAAATAAAATAAAAGAGGGATTCTTACGCATGTCCTGTTCCGCCCCTCCATTGACCTCCACCAGGTGCGACATGCTGTCTGGAGCCCCGTGCGGCAGAGTTGCCCCCTGAAGGACGCCTGTGCAAACGACAAAGAAAAATATCAGGATGTAGGCACAGATGCTACGAAATGCAGAGGTTACAAGATTCACAAGTCATGGATCAGTCACTTGCCTCTGAATAGCTGTTGCTTCCGGGAGAGTGGGGCTCCCTGCCAGCAGTTCTGGCTCCTCCGTTGAGAACAAGAGGTCATGGTGAGAAATACCAACAACAACTTTCTGCTTCTTTATGAAGTCCAAATGATGAACCATGTCCTTTTTCCTGAAAAGAAAAGAAAAACCCATGTTAATAAGGGTCACTATGGAGAACAGATAAAGCACCTTGTCGTTCATGCTTACAATTTTATCTGATCCCTGTGAAGATCCTCCATCCTTTGCTGGGTTTCTGAGAAGCCAAAGCCGTTATCTGGCATTTTAAACATGTCTGCCAGTTCCTGGAAGATAGAAACAGAAAAGAGATTGTCAGTTGACACATAGACGATGACGTACACAATAACAAGTTCCGAAGAGACTCACAGAGTTAGTGAAGTACCGAAGATTGTTTTTGTCAGATGTTGCTGACCGCATAAGCCCATCCTTAAACACCTGCATTGCCAGTGCACAACATAATGAAGAGTAGGTTTGTAATAAAGTAACAAGAAGAGAAAAGGCTAGCATCCATACCTGCTTTCGGTAGATTTTCTCCTCCACGGTTCCGGCAGTAATGAGGCGATACACCACCACATCCCTTGCTTGGCCAAGACGATAGGCTCGGTCAACACTTTGATTGTCCACGCTGCAAGGAGAATAATCATCACTTAGTCTTTCTTCCATAAAATCAGAGAACACAGCGCAGAGACACTTACCTCGGATTCCAAGCGGGGTCCATGATGATCACACAATCAGCAGCATGAAGTGTGAGTCCCAGGCCACCAACCTTCGTGGTCAGCATGAAGACAGGAATTTCTCCAAGTTGGAACTCCTGCCAAAAAACAACCATTTAGTAAAGCAAACTGCCAAGGGCACCAATAATTTAATAGTGGCTTCAAAAATACCTGAACCCGACGTTCTCGCATGTCAGGCTTCGTATCGCCATCAATCCGGACATAACCAATGCGCAGCTTACGCATGGTACTCTGGGAAGGAATGCGAACAAGTAAGTGGGACAGCGAATTTAGGCCATATGGACCATGAAAACCTTACAGGGATTAAGCAAGAAATGCACAAGATGCATCCTTACCTCCGCCATGTTCAGCAATATCTTTGTCTGCGAGAAGACTAGAACTCGATGTCCGTCATTGACCAGTGAGACCTGAAAGATATGAAGCAAAGCGTTAAGATAGAAAAGCATGGCAAGTGATAACTGCAGAGGTGGAGGGTAGAGGACTCACAACAAGCTCTTTGAACATCCTAATCTTGCACGAGGCACCAGGGTCAGCCATGATGCTTGGATCGTCAAGGAACTGTTGCACAGCGGCAGAAATAGCCTCTCCATTCTGAGAGCTTTCACGCTCGATGCTTTCCTTTACTTCTTCCAGAGCAGCCTCCGAGAGAAGGCAAGGATGATCACATATCTTCTTCAGCACCTGCAACAAAAAATCACCACGAATCATCAGCATGCTGCAGACTGGGTTACATAATGTAAATCTGGATGCTGTCCTTACAGTGATCGCATTCAATGGCGACGAGGTCTTGTTCAGAACGTTTCGGACAGCGTCTGACATTAGAAAGGTCTCGTACATATGAATCTGCCATGCAGAAAGCAAGATGGGTGAGCGCGTTGCCAGACGTAAAATTTAATGTAACATGCCAGATAAGTCCGCTTTACCTGACGGTTCGTGAGCTTCAACCAGACAATCAGGTCATGCTTCTGTGGCAGCCTGGGAAGAGCAGAACCATGACGCCTAGCGGATGGGTTCTCCTCTGCAAGAAGGCTTGGAAATATTTCCTTCTTCATGCGCCTCAAAAAGTATGGTCTGATCTTCTCACGAAGAGCCTGAAAACGCGAGCGCACGGGATCAGACTAAGCACATCAGGTAACGGAGCAAAATGCTCAATTCAAAACTTACAGCACTGGCTTCATTCGCACATCGCTTCTGGTGTCCCGATGAGTTGGACTGGCTACCATCCAGGATGCGCTTTTCGTACTGGGCTCGAAACCTTAAACACACCAAAGACACGGATATCTCATTTGTTAAGACCCAAACCTCAGTGAAACAGCAGGAAGAAACATACGGAAATTAAACTTACTCTTTGTAATCTCCCAGTAAGCCACAGCAGCACAAATCAAAAAGCGCCCACAACTCCTGCAGCAAACGCCCGAACTTCAGTTTTGCGCAACAAACTGGAACAACCAAGTGTTTGACAAGATCTGATACTGACCTTGAGCTCATTTTGGATGGGAGTTCCCGTCATAATGAGGCAGTGGTGAAATCTTAATGCTTTCAGCACTTGGAAACGCTTCGTGCTTGGGTTCTTGGCAAGATGACCCTGAAGAAGTAGCGGTGTTGTTTTCATTAATTATACTGACATCGAATGCAAGAGCGAGAGAAAACAGGAAACCTACCTCGTCAAGGATCAGGTAGTCCCAAGTCAGACATTGTGGCGGAATATTTTGGACCATCTCGTAGGTTGTGAGCATAACGCCGCCTCTCTGCAACGCATGGGTAGATCGTCAGTACCGACGTGAACAAACATTTTGATAAAAAGCCTGCAAAATATCTCACCTCCAGAAACGATTCCAGGAAAACTGGCCTCTCCCGCACGGAAATAGATGACGTGAACCTGCAGCAGAGAGGTCGTTCAGTCACTGAAATTATACTGCTACAAAGTAGATTGCACGGGGTGACTTACTCTTTGCAGTGGCTGATGCCGACAGACGAGAATTCCAGTTTCCATTGAGGCAACAGTGTACCGGGGACCACGAGTAAAAATTGCGAAGCAAGCTTGGCCTCCAACAGTCCAGCAATGAAGGTGGCAATCTGCACGAGCGTTGACAACAACCGTTAGTACAAGAAAAACAGCAAAAAAGAAAAACCAGTTGAAAACTGATAACAACCACGATGTACCTGTCGGGTCTTTCCCAGGCCCATGTCGTCACCAAGAATTCCTCCTCGCTTCATCTCATGCAGACCCCACATCCACTCTATGCCTTCCTGCTGGTGTTCGTACAATCCTCGTGCGATTCTTCCAGAAACAACAAACTTTCCGCCACCAAGGATTAGATCAGCCGAGCTTGTTTGGTGTTCAACAGGTACAGAGGCAATCTCAGAATAGTCAGATTCCACTTCATCTTCTTCTTGTCCCTTCGAAGCATCAAAAGACTGCGATGCACTTTTGAATCCACTGGTGCTTTCACTCTCGCCTCTTGATGCAGCTCTCTTTGAAATTGTCGATGCAGCTGCGGCACTCCCGGATGAGTTAGACGAACGAGCTTTGTCCTTGCCTAGCTTCAATGATGTCAGCCCTTCAATCAGGAGATTTGAATCTCCTGTGTCTTCGGTCACGTCCTCCCTTGAGTCTCCAGAAGACTGTGAGCCTTGAGATGACTCTTCTGGGCCGTCCTCGTCAGAATCAGCCTCATAGGTAACTTTTGACCTACTATAGGCCACATTCTCAGCAAGTTGCTTTCCCGCTTTCTCCCTCCTTTTGTTGACGAGTTCCAATAAGGCAGCCTTTCTAGCATTACCGTCGGTCTTGGATAACGGCATTCTGCGACCAACAGGGTTAGTGTCCATTGGCGTGCTCCCAACAGTCGATGATAACTCGGACAGGCGAAAGGCAAACGGAAAGTCAGGCAGGGGGGAAGGCAAAAACTAGAGAGATTAGACAGGAACGTCTGAAGGATGGTCATGAATGAATGAGACTACAGTTTTGAGTACATGCCATGCCAAGCATGGGGCTCAATCAACAAAGAAACTGGAGAGAGAGATTTCAAATTCGCGGTTTCTGACAGAAGCTGACACATGCGGTGCCATTACATGACATGATGTGCCCCAGAGGTTGCCATCCCTGACGAGCTGGTTAGATATCCTCCCGCGCAAACCTCGTTCAGTGTTCTCAATAACAATATGTCTCAAATTAAACTGTGGGTGTACTACATTTTACAGTGCATTCTGTCCGCAAAAACAAATCGAAATGTTTCTGAATGCCATAAAAAATAGATGGGATGTTTTTTTTAATCATATTCTTAGATATTCTAATATAACTTCACATGCCTCAACATATGCCATTCAATACAATAGGAAATAGCATACTATAGTATGCATGAATTGTAAATAATAATTATTTCAAATAAAATATTTGCATGCTATTATCATACTATCTTTCTGTCTGCGTTGTGCTATCTACAAATGAGAGCCTTAATAATTCTTAGCAAGCTTTATGTCATGCCTTATTAAATTCTGTTTGATTGGATAGCCTGTCTATGAAGCGTGCATCTAGTCACACTTCACCTCTCGCTGTGTGGATTGACCAATGGACTGCACGCTTGATCGCTGCGGTGTGATCATCCTTGCCATGCCATCACACGGAACGGAACAACCTCCACTATTGCCATGTCAAAGTAGACGACACTTGCAAGCTGTTGAGGTATTTTCTTTCCAGCTGTGCCTCTTCTTCAAATTGGGCGTGAGGAACTTATTACAAGCGGCACAACTCCGTTCCGTATAATCAGCGAGAATATTGTCATTCCACTGAAGGAAACGCAACTACTGCGTGTTTCTGTATATCATTTAGGTTTCCAGGGTATTTATGCAGCGGAAGTACGATTCAGGATAATCGAACATTCGCCCATAACAACAGCCTCCTTCCAACTGAAGCACCCCCCTCCTTTCCCCAAATTCTGCTCTGCTCCTTCTGCCGCTCCGCACACGCATGTATAACGGCTCTTCCTGGAAATCATGGCGGAACGCGTGCACAGCAACAGCAGTCTCAAAATGCGCTACGGCGTGCTGCTGGAAACCGGGGAGGTTGAGGTAACGGGAGGGGACACGGGAGGTTGCACGAGCCGTCCGCTGGAAGCAGCTCAGGTGGTTCGAATCGCCAATCTCGTAATGATCATCCGGAGCCCCCTTAGCCTCACACGAGGCCATCGCTTCGGGCATTCCAAAGGCTATTCATGCTTTTGATCGATTCACTTGATGCACTTTCCAAGGGACTCACTTTTCCAGGGACGACGAACGCCCCACTCTGGGCTGGCCATTTTTTTCCCGGGCGAAAATTTAGCGAGGAATGCCCGATTCAACACGCTTCCTAATATCGGGCCATCCTTTTCGTAGTCGCTTTCCTCGTTTCCAGGGCTCCTAGGCAGCTCCACACGGGTGAATTATTGTACAGCTTTGGTTGTCAGGCAGGCATGATCTCCAGTAAGCATCAGTAATGAATCCGCATCCGCCGTGCGTTCAGCGTCAGCTACGGCGTGAGCGTCAATCGCGGAACAGTCTGTTGCCCTAGAATGGAAAATTGGTGTTAGGCCTTACACACCATGTCCCCGTTCAAGCCCGTAAGGGGCGGCCAGGCACGGAAGCAGGTGCTTCCAGACATATCCCTTCTAGCAGCTCCAGTTCTCAAGGCGTCCTCTCTGACCCCATCACATGCCGTGCTGCCTGAGTGTACGGCAGCAAGCAAGAAGCGTACCGACCTGCAGGTCTCAGTACCGCCTCGGGCGTCCTTCTCATCGTTCTGGTCATCGAAATTCTCTCCCTTACCTGCTACCATCACATGTCCGACCGCAGAGCCAGGAGTTGACATATCGGGGCTGTTATTGACTGACCCATCGTCTGATCCACATGCCGAGAGCTCCAGTGAACAATACCGTTTGGACGAGGGGAGTGAGATAGTGACATCTACATCATCAATGAGTGGGTCCTGGCAAGCGTTTCCTCTGTCTGTGGCGTCTGCACCATTGTCATCATCCTTTTCGCCATCTTCCTACTCACCTTCATGCCTACTATCCCCAGTTTCCGCAACGGAATCAGCATCACCACCGCTCTCACCATCTCGTCGCACAACATCACTCCACGCCACCGACCCTTTCGCTGTTGAAACCGTCTGCGCGGACAGTACGGAACCTAGATGGGCAAGCGAGCGGGAAAGAGCGGAGCAACTGGAGCTTGAAGTTTCTGCGTTGAAGGCGGAGATGGCCGCATCACGGGAGGAGATGCGCATGGAGAGGGAGGAGTACGAGGCTGCCATTGACGCCCTTAAGGCGTCGCTTGCCCGAATGATGCGAGAGCACTCGGAGGAGCTGCAGCAGCTGCGAGCTGCGCTGGAGGAGGCATCTGGTGTCAAGGCGTCCCCGGCAGAGGAGGCATTAAGCGCGGAGGGTGACAAGGCTGACTGCGAGCAGGGTGGTGTGGGTACTGATTATGAGGACAGGGATGTGACTGGATGGCGTGGGGCCGAGGCCGGTGCAGCAGGATGTGAAGGGCGCGCGAGTGAAGAAGATCTACGGATGGAGGATGACAACGAGAGCAAGGAGGGGGGCAGCATGGAGGACCGAGAGACGGACAGTGCAGAGGCTGGCGCTGATGTTGGCACGTACAAAGACGAGGAGTGGACAATAGGTCAAGGGAACGTGGAGTGGTTGCAGCAGAAATTGCAGGAGAGCCAAGCACGAGTGGCGGAGTTAGAGAAAGAGGTGATGGTGCTGGGAGAGCGCCTTCTGGATGCGAGGAAGAGAGTGACAGCAGGGATGGTGCAGATGGAGATGATGAGTCTCAGCAGCGGAATGGCCAAAGTCCAAGCTGTGCCTCGTGTGGATGCGCATGTGGATATCCTTGACTGTGATGATGACTATGACGATGGTAGCAGCTGTGATGGTGGTGAAGAAGAAGAAAAGGAGGTTACCTCTGCTACCTCTGCTGCAGCAGATGCACCATCGGATGCCTGTTGCTCACTAGAGTCAGCTAGCAGCAGAGTGGATAGGGAGGAGGAGGACCATGCCTGCAAGGATGTGGACCATGCTGGTGGTGTCAGTGCACATGCAGCGGTGAGCTTGGATGCTGGTGCGCATGGCAGCAGCACGTTGTCGGGGTCCTGTGAAGCACCAGGGGTGGGAGTTAACGATGGTCCTGAAGTGAGTCCCGCGTGTGAAGAGCCTGCCAGTGCTCTTACTGATAGGAAGGTTCGGTTCAGAGAGTTTGTGCAGGTGCTTGGGAATGAGGCGGAATCTGTTGACTGCACAGAACGCATGATGCTTTCAGACGAGAAGAGCTGGGACTGGATGGAAAGTGCACGGGCAAGAGACAGGCAGAGGGAGTGGTGGCCGACAGGGCAGAGCATGAGGGAGCGACGGAAGCTTACATGCTCCGACCACAGCAACGTTTGGCAGGACTCAGAAACACATGCAGGGGATGGGTACGAGTGGGACAGCATGTATGGTGCAGAAGAGATGTTGGGGGAACAACGGAACGGTCAGCAGTGGAAGCGGAGGGAGCTACTGCAGCAGATGGAAGCTCAAGTGCAGTGTGTGGAGGAACGGCTGGGGGGTTACTGTTCCGACATTGCAGGGCAGATGAAGGTGGACATGCAGGCTCTGGCACAACAGCTTCTCAATGGGATGGTGAGCTGGCAAGGCTGGAAGGAGAAGAGAAAGGCAAAGAAGAGCTTAGCTGCTGATCCCACGGAAACACACGGCCAACCCCCTTGTGCTACTGTTTCTAGTGCAGATGGTGCGGCGGCTGCAGTTGGGAGCTGTGATGAGTCTTGTACAGGGTCTGGCTTTGTCCCACAGCCGCTAGACGTGTTGGCCGCCTGTGTGAGCGAAGTCATGTTTGAGGACTTCGAGTGCGACAGGTTTCAAAGAGCAGCATACTGCGAGTCCGCATCTGACAGCGAGAGGTGTGCACGCAACTATGACAAGTTCCTGGTGCAGCGCTGGAGGCGAGGGCCCATGAATCCTCTGAGGGAGCCTAAGTTCGTGAGTTTCTGTGAGAGGAAGGCCGAGAGGGTTGCTGATGTTCTGGTGGGAGCAATGCTTGCTATCTCGCCGTTGCCTTGCAAGCAGGATGCCGGGTTATCCAGGAGTGATAGCGCTGGCAGCAGTTCCACCCGCAGTAGCAGCAGCAGCAGCAATGACAGTTGCAGCATG